CTTGAAATGACCTGAAATCTAACTTAAGAAATAACCAGCCCACTCACAAATCCTTTTTGCCAGATGTGCTTGGGAGCGACCTCTACCACCAAGCTTGGTGTTTTAAGATAGACCAAGAAAAGCAGGACTGCCAATGAATAGTTGCAGACAGATCTCACATTGGAAAACTTCTTATTGAAAGCACGCACAGAGAAACCAATCAGAAATTCAAAACAGGAAAGTTCATAGGAAATTCAACGCCACTTGAAAAATCTGTCAGATATTTGAATATTTGCTTTTAGAGAAAATAGTTACTCAGCTACCATTCCCGCTGTTTGCGGAATGAAGCATTGTTACTAGATGATACACAACAATATAACAATGCTCATGTTTAACACTGGTAATCACGCACATACACAAAAACGTGTTTTCTTTCTTCCTTACCAGTGGCTAAAAAAAAAAGAAAGAAAACCAAAGCATAAGCATCAAAGGTAGGACAGGAATCTTTCCACAGGGCACAGATGTTAATAGGTGGATATTCAACATGATATATTGCAATGGCGTTCAATGATTTATTGAGTCAATCTGCAGTTTGGAGACATTAATAAGCGGATCTTATCTTATTAAGCGGAACATGTTGTTCCACTGCATGGGCACCCACAGCATCTGCCACCCCTGCTCTCCCAGTCTTCCTGTCCGTGTTTTGCCTGCCACGGACACGGCACTCATTTCAAGGTTGCACCAAGCTGGTGAGACCCACAGACTGCAAAGACACCAGGAAAGCAGCAACAAAAAACCATTTTGCTAACAAAAGATGGAGGAGCAGGGTTAATGCACAGAAACCCAAGTGGAACTAGCACATCGGATAAATTAGGCTAAAGGCATCTTGATTTGAAGCATGTTGCCAAATACACCTCTCTGCTTCAACTGAAATTCTAACTGCACTGTTAAGGTAATTTATTATACTCATTAAGTACCACAATCGGAGACCCTGTCTACAGTAGCCACTTTCATACATTTTAAAAACGTTAGCAAGTCACCCCATTACATCTTAGTCATGAGACTAATGCAGATTACTTACTACTTCTCTTGGCAATCACATAACACTTGTCCTGCGAATGAAAGATGATGCCTTGACAATAATACTCTAAAATGTAATAACCCTTCACTTGTTATAAAGTGCAGCACTTTTTCTTTTGAGGATCATTAAGTGCTGTGCAGGCATTCGTTAAGACCGCCTGGCCAGATCCCACTGCCACGGAGCCATCCCCATGCAAAATGTGGCTGCCACACTAATCTCCCTGTGTGTTTCTGCGCGGTGCCCATCTTCACCGGGAACACGCAGCACAGCAGTCAGAAATATCATCGCTTCCACCATCCCCCTCATATTTGCAATAGGAGATAACTGCAGGCACAGGTTATCTGCTGAAATTTTAATGAAGAGAGAAGTAACTGTTGTTTTAATATTCTCCAAGCCAGTAACCTGAAGTATAAGGCAGTTACCTGACTTGCCCAAGGCCATTCAGCAAGCTGTGAGAGAAATGGGAATAAAACCTAGAAGCTGTGGCTCTGCCCAAAACAGCATTCCCTTGGGGTCCCTGCCAGAGCCCACAATTCAAACGCAAAAGTAATTGCTGAATAATTAGTAACATACACAATTACTTCCATGCATCCATCAGTATTTTATGCCCTGAAGGATCAGTCAATAAATGCCTGAGATCACAATTATCATGGTTCCCTATCTACCAGACGGCCCAAATAATGCTCACTCTAAAAAGATTTTTCCTTCCTAATGAGTATCATCAATTGGAATGACTAACTAGCCTGAGCGTGTCTCATCCAGTTTTACCAGCATGCAGGTGATGCAAAAAGCACCAGTTTTGGGGCAGCTTCACAGTTTTAGGCAGGTCTTTCAGTATTCAAGCACCAGCTCTTGGAGTCGTGCGACCATATGAAAATTTGGGTTCATTAAGGGGGAAAAAAAGGGGGAAATTCTAGCTTTTATGGTTGAAAAGCAATATCTTAAAGCAACAACAACAACAAAGTGATTTCAGCTTGCAGTTTCTCTCTTCGCAGTTGCCATGCTTTCAAAATAGGGTTTTTTCTTTCAAAACCTGATCTGCTGTCCCACTACTTCATGGTTTCCAACTGTTCTCTTCTGTTCGTTCTTTATTCTTTCCAAATCAGTCGTATCTATATCAACATCAAAGTCCTGTATATCGCCCTTCTTCTGAAGGCTCCTTATTTTCTAATCCCTTTTCGCTGAAGTTCTCAGTGAGTTTTATTAAGCAAATGCTCACTGTTGCATTTTTTCCACCTGTTTTTTTCCCAGTGACAGTGCTAGCACCTGGGTGGCTTTGTGCCTTTGAAAAGCAAACAAATATCATCTGCTAAAGTTAAAACTTTTATCTTGATGATTTTGGTCAGGCTTTCTCCCAAGCTACCGAAATATAGCAAAAGAAACACAGAGCAAACCCCTGTCCCCTCCCAACTTGCACGTAGACTTTTAGAAGTGAAGGGCCAGACGGGACCCCAGGAAATCACCCTGCTCCAAGCCACCAACCTGATTAAGCCACATGAGCTTGTGAGTGCTGGCCACACAAAACTCTCCATCTGCAGCTTATAAAATCACAAATATTGGGAATATTGGGAACTCCTCCAGGGATGCTCTTCCCCAACAGGATCACTGTATGTGGACCACTCTTTGTCTAACTTGTTCTTAAAAACTGTCAGCGAAGGATAACCTGGGACTGGTTTGACTCTTTCCGGGCTCTGCAGTCCCACTATCCAACCCCTGTTTTCTTGGCTGCAGCTGAAGGCGATTGCATCTTTCCCCCATTCTTCCCCAAAATTTGAAATGTTTCTGCCTTACTCTGGCCATCACAGGGTCTGTCAGCCCTGGTCACCTCATCCAATCCCACAAAATCACGGAGTTAACAGGAGGTGACAGAGGTTTCCCATTTAACATCACCACTCTCCATTTTGCAGCATTCACCTTCCTTGGTCTCTAAATTGCCTAATTACATTGCAATCAAAGGCAATCTCATCTTTGCAACTGTTTGACTTCCACCTGGTACAGTAAGTAGCATTATTAATAATAGAAGCCATGCATTAAAGGTATTATTTTATTGTTCTCCAGAGAGAAATAGTCGAATATTTCCTTTTGCTGAGTTCCATACCCTCAGTTTAGAATGAGGTATAACTGGTAGGGTCAGAAGTATAATCAGCTTTATCATGACAGTACATTAAAAAGATAGCCAGCAAAATGTAGCTTAAAACAAATCAAAACTAAACCTCAGAATATAAAGCTTGGCAATAATAAAGACTTGGACATTAGAAGCCTAACTTTGTGGTCTCTGTTTTTGGGGAATTTTTTTTTTTTTTTTTTCAAATTCGCTAGTTATTGCAGCATTGAATAACGCTATATTCCAAGATATAATCAAGATCAACACTGTCTTAATCAATACTCTGAAAAATAGGATTTCCAAAATAGTACAACAAAGTCATTAAAGAAATCTCAGAAGGCAGCAAAATAATTTCTTGAAGCTGTAAGTGAAAAATGAACATTATTTATTTCACATTACAATCAAATAGTAATGTGTCTTGATGCATATGTGTGCACATGCATCATCATTATTTTCTTTATTCTTATTGATTTTTCCTTCTGTGGACCAGCTTTCGAGAACCACTATGTACCAATGTCACTGATGTCAATAGGGAAAGCAGCTTCTCAGCACTTCTGAAAAATTAGTCCCTCAAACTTCAGACACTTCTATCACCCACAGAAATGAAATATCCATTAGACCTATGAGAAATCAACCTCATCTTCAGAAATTGAAAAGAGTAGCCCATGAAATCTGAACCGTTTAGCTGGCATTGCATATAGTCATGTAAGCAATGAAACGACCGTGTTATAACTGTCCCAGATGGGTACAGCGTCTCCTGAAAACTAATCCCCAGCATGTCCCAGGAGCCGTTGGAGACAGCTACTCATTTTGCTGTTCCAAGTGGAAAGGTCATCAGAACAAACAGGATCAGGGAGTAATGGCGAGGCAGTTCAGCTGATCTATTTCAAGCACCATGACAAAGAAAACTAATTTAGTGTTATAATTAGAAACATGGAGAGGAAAAAGCTCATTTTGGAGAAGTGCTGCTGCTGGAACAGTAGCAATGGAGCTGATGGAGCTAATCAACTCAGAGAGGGGGAAGAGCGAATCCAAATTATACATTTAGCATCTTCATGCAAACCAGGTTTGACATCGCAATTGTTTGTAGTGGGGAATAAGCGCCAGGTTTAAAGGTGACCTTGCAAGGGAAGTTTTAAAGAAGTAGGCTAAGCAAATAAGAGTTTCAGGACTTTTTTTTTTTTTTAAATAGCCTAAAAAACTAAAACCACATGTCACAATCTTTTTTGTTCATACTTGATGACGACTTTTCTAGATTATCAACTATTTGGCTGCAGTCTGGATTTTTTAAAATGTATTCCATGTTTCTTATGAAAGGCTGCAAGAATCAGGCTTTTTCAATACCTCTTAATTATGACAAGACCCATATCACTTCTTGCAAACGGAAACATGACATGCGTGAGCTAAAGTGGACTAGAAGGACTTCCAAAACTCTAATACGTTTATTTTAACTGGCTTCTCAGAGAGATGCACTTAAATGTGCTCCAGGAAAAAAAAAAAAAAAACATACCTCAAAAGGAGTTTTTAATGCACTGCAGGTTTAGTTACACAACGCGCTTTCTTGGGAGGCAAAGCTATCTTTTCCCTGCTCTCACCCCAGTGATATTCCAGTGCCCCCTAGCTGTATCAACACTACTGTTTGTAAAGCTATGCTGTTTAAAAAAACAAAACAAAACATTACATTATCCAAGTTAGAAGTAATTATCCAAGGAAAAAAAAAAAAGCCAGAAGCAGTGTGTCACGTAGCTGCATCCTGAGACACAGTTAGGCGATGAAGGACAGATACACAGGGAAGATAAAGGCAAAAGAGAGACAGCAGGAGAAAGAAGTCCATACCTTCATAAGTTCCTACTTCCAGAAGGGTCCCACTTCGCTCCAGCTCCAGAAATTCCTGCACAGTCAGAAAGTTATAGTCCACACCAGGCACTTCTCCTTCTCTTGGAGGGCGAGTTGTGCCTGAAAGGAAGAACAAGCATGTTAATAAAGTTGTTTTCTTATCAAGAGTTACAAGGGATAATAAATCATTATTCTAAAGATGTAACAGCATCTGTAAAATACAATTCACTGAGTGACACAGAAAGCAATGTTAAGAGTCCAAGTAGGAGTTAAGAGGCCCACATAAAAACAAGACTTAGATCACAATTTTAGCTGGTTTCACCAGTTGCTCCACCCAACCACATTTTTTTTGATACTCCCAGAAAGGCTCTCTTGCAGAGATCTCTTGGATCACATGCTGAAAGACAGCTGGGAGATTTCAGTGCCTGCCAGCAATTACCTTCCCATCATTAGCACAGTCGCACTTCTACTTCAGTAAAATAGCGCTGCGTATTCTTAGATAAGACTGACAACTTATTTCCAGCTTCCCTTATTTCTGTATCACTTTATCTCATCAACTATTCTTTCACATCATAGACAAAGATCTTTTCTCCCTTGTTTTTTCGCATTGCTTGACCTGTCTTTATGCTATTATTCTTTAACAGCATTAAAAAGTACCGTGAAACAGTTTTGATACACCACGTTACACCATTCACGCACACACACTGAAAACGCAACCTACAAACTTTTTTGTAGAAGTTCACCTGTAAGCTTTAACTCAGTTCAAGAAACAGTCCTCCTTTTGAATAATAATTCACATTGTACCGCTCTTTCTCCCTCTAACGCTTGACAATTTAAACAGTATCCATGGAGAACTGGGCTCTCATCACTGCTACCCTGCCAGCTCTGAAAGTCTTTTCCCTTCTGACCAATTTATAGCCCTTTGGAGCACAGTGTAAGATGAGTCATGTCATGACTTTTTGCTGAGATGGCTTGGGCCACTGCATTTTAGGTCACTGAGCACTGCTTAATTGATTAGGATCAATTTCTGTTCAATAGCCTTTATTTTCCATGACTCCAGAGGCTCGGAGATGGCTAGATTCTCTCTGCATCTGAGATTAAATATAAATGACAGATTTACAGATAGTTCAGGAGACTGAACTTTAGAAGAAGGAGCAGCATCAGAGGGTTGGAGGAGCGTAAGTGCTGTGGCCACAACCAATCTGCCAGCTTGGGAATAACTTTAAAGATACAGAGGCCATACCTAATATTTAATGAAGCATGATTTTTCACTTCTGAGGGACTCTTGGGCCCCTGGGCAGTACCTCTTCAATACATACAATTTCTTAAACCCTCCACAAAAGGACTGAAGAAAGAATAAAAAAGTTGAGCTTCTGGAAACTAATTGGGAAGATTCCAGCTCTCAAAAGTTGTGAGGCATTAATTTACCACGTCTGCATCTGGCAAATGTTTTTCTCAAGTGCCAGGGAAGCGGAAAGTCTGCTTATGCCCAGCTCATGTGAGCAGCTGTTCAAGAGGTCAGTCTTGGCAGTGACACCCTCAAGACACTCTCGCTAGATTCATTTCCCCCATAGACATCCACTTCCTCCAATGTCCTCCACATATTCTTCTGAAATAGGTACGCTCTCTTCTTAATTATCATCAGCCTTTAGTTATTCTACAAACTCCCGTGGTGTTTGCTCTCATTCCTTCTCTTGAATCTGCATGAAAGAGTGCAGGGAGGAAGAGGAGCAAAATAGAGATGGCGATAGATATCTTGACCCTATTAGCGGAATTACTCTTTCCTGTTTGAAAAGAGTCAATTTTGCATTCTTTGTATTCTTGGCTTCTTACAGTAAGAGCATGGCAACTTTTACCAACTAGCTTGTAACAGAGGACAGACATCTTTCACAGATCTAGACCACAGAAATATTGGGCCTGCACTGTGCACCCCAGGACCTGTGTTTCCCTCTTGAGGGAGGCAGGACCTGCCTGGCATGAGCATGCACGCAGGACGAAAGTGTGCAGCCCAGATGGAGCACCTCCTCCCTGAGCACCCACGCTGCTGCACGTGTTCGGGCTGCAGCGACCCTCACCGGGGCATCGGGGTTCTGCCACCCCTGTCAGCTTGCCATAACCCAGGACCACAAGAGGAAAGGAGGAAGAAGAACGAGCAGCTCCTGCAGTTAAGTGCGCTCAAGGATGTGCTCCAGTCATCCCATGCCTGGAGCACAACAGAAGTAAAAATTAGACTCTGTAACGCTCCTCATCCAATGCATCCATCAAACGTCACCCCGAGCCATTTGGCATGCGAGCCAAATTACAAAGACTGAGACATACTTTTTCCAATAACTGACAACACGAGACAGAAAAATCAAACTTCAGGATTCATTTAACTTATCTTCTGAAGTCCTCTCCTTTTCTTTATCTGTATCTTCCCACAGAGAGTATTTATTAATCTTTTTTTTTCCTTCTGAATTTTTATAGTGGTGAAATTGCAGTCAGTGGTTTACTAGTGCCGGCTGCCTATTTGACATGACAATTATATCTCTCATAATTCCTCTGAGCCATTTTAATGGATCTATTTGTTTCATCTCAGTGTTCTTAATTTCCTGAATATGTTCAAGTCGAAAACTCGCAGATGTGCTTGCTATCAGCACGCTCGCCTGCAACACACACTGAATGCATTAGAAACGCCAAGCCGCGGCGCAAAAGAAAAACATTACATCACGGAGATAACATTTGTCACCTCACATCGGTCTCCGGCAACGAACAGGGGAGAAATAAAAACAACACTGGCTCGGATATCTTATCTGGGAGAAAGCGAAAAACCCAACAACTTTCCATGTTGCTGTCTAGAGCCGAGATTGCTTGCAGATGCTGGGGCTGTTATCCAGCCTCGCATCTGAGCGAGCGTTAGCGAACGCGATTCGGAGAGGCAGGGGGAAGGGAGAACCCGCCTCCGTTTTTCTTGCAGCAGAATGACAGGCTGCCGGCTGGACACACGCCTGGCAGATGGCATTTCAAAGAGTTTGCATGAACCATCTGGGATGTGTACAATGATTACAAACCACACTTACAACAAAGCCAGAAGGGCTGCTTCGCCGGGGGGGCCAGGGGAGAGGGCGGCAAGAAAGAAAGGGTGAAAGAAAAGAAAAGCAAAGAGGCACATAAGCAAACTCGGCTTCTTTTCTCAGGAACGGCATGCTAAAAATAAGCTGCACCCTCCAGCCCAAGCTCTTCCACCGCCTCAAACAACTGCTTGGCTACCGGGCAGCATGTGCACCACGCCAGGCTGCACGCTAGCGCTGGAGCCGATAAACTTGAAACTGTAATTAAGTCTCTCGTCATTAATGGGATTTAATTATGTGCAAAGCACAGCTTTTTCCCCTCCCCCCTTTAAAACGCATTTCAGCATCCTTCACCCAGGATGGTCATCGCTGAAGGAAAGGACTACAGAGCTGGCTGTGCACTTTATCAGAACTAATAGCAAATCGTACCACTGCTAACGGCAGAAATTAATTGAACACGATGAATTCTGTCGACAGCCCAAGCAGCAGTTATATATTTCATTAGAAAAGGGGAGCCAATCGTATTTGAATTCGTTAACCTGCCTGCCATGCTTGCATTGAAATATTAAGTGGCATCAAATCTTACTGCCATTAGGTAGCAATTTAGCTAATCAATCTAAGCTATGTCCTACTGCGTGACTTGCTCAGAATTGCTAATGCTACAACAAGGAGGAGAAATCGGGTGGTTACTGACTCCTTCTTCGCATGGTTGGTAAACTTCCCCTATATTTGGTCAAAGCGTCCCATAATATATAAAACTAGTTAGAGACATCAAATTCGCACTGGAATTGCTTAAAACTCCTGCAATCCAGGAGGGGAAGAAAAAAGAAAAAAGCTACTGGTTAGCATCGCAGGTTTCACCTTCTCGCTTGGTCCAGGGAAGCAAAACCAGGTATAACATGGGTGGCTGGGTGCTGGATGAACCGTCTGCCCTCCAGCCCAGCGCCCAGCTCTCACTTTGGTATCCCACCCCAACTAGCTACGTCCTGGTGGATTCAGGCACTATTACTGCTCTAGCCACAAAAGATGGATCTCGGCGTGGGCTGGAGAGTGCACCCGAGAAACCGCACAGGGAGACAGGGGCATTTACCCATGCATGGCCCACTGGAAGCTACCTAAATTAAAGCTTGTCATGTATGCCTAGAATAGCTGGACTGTGGCTCAGATGTACCAATGCCTGCCAACTATTATTCTGAATAATATAAGTGTCCATTTAAAAGACAAGTAACTACAGCTGTTACGTTGCCTATCAACCATGCTGACAATTATCCAACGTGAGCTTCAATTATAGTATGGCCAGATTGTTAATATGTGATTCAAGGGCTGTTTATCTCCTTATCAATCTACCAGGGCCTCATGTTAAGTTGTTAATAGCCACTGACGCCCTGCTGCTAAATTAATCAGAATCTTGCTTATTGTAACCTGAGAATAAGACTTCAAAGGGGCCACAGTCACTTCAATTACTGTCTTGTTAAGAGAAAAACAGTTCTCGAGCAGTAATTCTTTCACTGTGCACCTAAACAGCCTCTAGCAAGTCATTTAGGAATTGACTTTTTGAGTGCACACCACCTCCAGCTCCCATTTGCAAAGCTGTAATTTCTGCAGACTCCTTACCCAGTTCCACTGGCTGGTCGCGGTGATACAGCGAGCCACCAAAATGCAGCTAATCAAACCGCACGTCATTTGCAGAAAACTGCATCTCATCTCCACCGTCTGGCTTCTCCCAAAACAGCAGATAATTTGAAATTTTCACACACAGTCAATCGTTACAGATGGTATAATGATATTTTCTATGCACTTTTGTCACCGGTAGTTACCACAGGTGAATGAAGCTGTAGTAAATAAGGTTTTAATGAGAAGCTCGCAGGGACTCACAAAGATGCAACGCCAAGGGCTGTTGCAGGGGGTCGATGAGAGGCTGCTTGCAGGCTAGCTAGGGGGAAGGATGCTGCCCTAGACGGAGTTCTTGAAGGCTGATTTTTCTGGTCATTCAGTAAAAAGAGACTCCTCTCATCCTCTACCTTGAAAATATTTTGAACCGCCAAGGCACTAGCATATTAAGCAAACAGT